TATGTTCAGCTGGGGAGGTGCTAGCGACTAAAACATCGTCAAGGTAGGCGTACACAAACGGTAAGCCACGTAAAACCTCGTCCATGAAACGTTGAAACGTTGAATTCGAAAAGGCCAAAAGGTGTTGTGATGGCTGTTTTGGGAATGTCATCCGGAGCTACGGGTATGTGGTAGTATGCTCTTACAAGATCGAGTTTGGAGAAAATGTTTGTATGGCTTGTATGGTTTCACTTCCAAAACACGTTAGAATCTCGGAAAGGGATTCCGTTTAAATTATTCCGAAATTTCGCGCGAATCCGCGGTGGCAGCAGCCAGTGTAGAGGTCGTTTTTGATGACAACTGACAAAACTTGGAGAAAATTGAAATGAAAAAGACGATGCTCACTACATAGGTGGCCGATTATTGCCTAGTTCGTAAAGCGAATCGGCACGGGCGAGTTCACTAGACAATATCCTGAAAGGCAGATTGTGTCTCATCATCACCAACAACATAAAATCAGTGTTCGAAAATGATGTCTCAGGGAGAGGCGTCAGTGCCTTATGTTACGTTAGGGTGTTTCGTTGCGCGCTACAGGTCAGCCTCGCCGCAAAATAATTGTAGGATGTACAGTTTAATCCAGTTGGCCTCGGAGGAGTGAATTACTTGCTAGATAGCTGTCGTGTTCACTAAGCCCGAACACAGGCCACAATAATCTTCAAAAATTATTGCACCTATCTCGTGCAAATTGCAACAAAACCGCTTCCTTTTCACCTTCTTCAAATGATACAATCGATTTATACCCGTGTTTTTCTTGTGCTCGTGGTGTACACTGGGTCGCTCTTTTTCACACTCACATTCAATTAGCGAGGAGTCAGGTGTGAAAGTCTCATGGGTCTTGAACTTTAAGGTTAGGAAACCGGCGAATTGAACTGAAAGCACAAGCGAGAGGCAGATATCCTACGCTATCCAACTTGCTTAAATAACCTTGTTTTCTGAGAGATCGTTCAACAAATGTCCATACATGTGCACACTGCACATGTCGCTGACAGAAAATATTTAATTACTGTGGGGACGATTTAACTAGAGCTGGGAGATGAAAGAGTCCAAATTCGCGTCCGGTCCCCGGCTTCTTCTATGTCCGTCCGTCGGCCGATTGTCTGGGAGACTCCGTCAAATTGGTCGCGATATTTTCTGGACAGCTTGGTTCTGCACCTGTTTGCTTAACCAAGTATCAATAAGAAAACTTATTTACTAGGAGCTCATTGGCCTTACCGGCGTATGTGTCAATGGAAGCATTTGATCCAGGTACGCAGAATTTTTCGGAAAACGTGGGAACAACAGAAATAGTCGGAAATCAGCAACAAAAATGTTACGTGAAGTACGGAATGAGCAACTGTTTGAACTGACAGCTCCACATTGACACCACACTTTTCTCTAAACCACTAGCCGGAATACTGGTCCTGCTTAGTTTACCTGTCACTCGCCAATGATAAATAGCAGCACCCATTGCATAGGCTTCAAGGTCGCAACGATGGATTTCGAAAATCATAGCCAATCAAAACAGCCTGTTCCGAGTGTGTGACACCCTTGGCATTGGACTCTTGCCAACGCACCGGATGAGTCGTTTGGGCAACCTCGTGCCGCATGTGTGGTTTGGGTTGCTATGTGGCTTGTGTTAGCTCTGCTGTTCCTGTGCGTCAGTAGCGTTCGTGGTAGCAAAGTCCTCATTTCTGGTACTTCGTTTTGTCTGTTGCATATACCGGATTTCAGAGAATGTGCTTAACAATGATGCGTTAAATCTTCTTGAGGATATTGAAGAATTCGTAAGTCCTTCAATTGACAACCTAACTCAGCTTTTCAGTATGCTCATAAATTCTCGGAAGAGTTCAAGTATGTCACTTTCCAACCCTACTTCCATCCCACAGGGTTTATTCGAATAAATTCTTGTTGTTGCGTGTCGGTTTCAGTCCTGATGTGCTGGATTTCGGTGCTAGGTAGTGGTTGCACATTATTTCTATTTTTCACAGACCAATTTCCAAGCCTACACGCGTCGAAGTCGTTTTACGCAACCTTGATGATGACCAGTCGTTTGAAATCGTCGCTGCGTTCGGTAACACGGAAGAGTTTCTCTGGTCTAGGTTCAATCAAACTGTATGGTCTGGTAAATCGTACCAATTTGATTTTAGGTTCTTGCACCTGCTTCTTCTACCTCTTTCAATGTCACGTTCTTGCCGCAAAGAGCGGGGGCGAGTGAAGCAACTATCTATATTGCCACATCTCGTGGGTTGTTACGATACCAGGTTTTCGGTTATGGGTATCCCAACCCAAATGAACTGTTTCATACAGTTCATGTGGAGCCGTCCAACAACAACTATGTTGCTGTCCTCAATGTGTTCAACCCCTCGATCGACCGCTTGAAAGTATGTCCGCAAAATGTTCGTCCTTTGGTAATAACAGTCTAATATATCTTACTTGTTTGATTTGGCAATTGTATCCTAGATAACCCATGCTACTTCCTTATCCCGGTGTGGCTCATGCTGATGCTCGGCGGTGAGCGGTTTGAGACAGTCCTCGGATTGAAATTCTACCTTTTTCACTAACGTTCCTATAGCTATTTTCTAGAACTTCGATTCCTATTTTGGTTTCGGTAACATGGTTATATGTCAGCGCATCCCACGGATATGCGACTTTCTGATGGTTTCGGCTATTCATCATCATCATCATCATCAACGACAGCATGACATCAGTGTTCAACACCAGTGCTTCACTGCCGTACAACCATG